AGCAATCAGGGACCGACCCAAGGTGCGGGGGGACAACAGAAGACACTTGGGGGCCATTAATCAACCAAGGAGGAAGAAGATAAACTTTAACACCACATACGTTGTTTTATGTGTGTAAACAAATGTTCAGGAAAGAGACTGAGATCAATAGTACTCATAGTAAAGCGCAGTCCCTCAATAGCTGCAACACAGATACTTGAGATAACAGTTCCTCTTTTGATGTTGACATGTCCTCTGGAGCGGTCATAAAAGTAGTGGGGGTGAGGGGGTACCAAAGGTGATTGTAATCACAGTAAGCAGGAAATACCTTCAACAGCATTCTACATTGTTTCTTTCAAATCCAGCTAACAGAGAGGAATCATATCTTAACAGAAACTACAGGTGTAATTTGATTATTTTGATAAGACATGTCTTGTATTATCTTAGGTGCAAAACTAGTGGGGCCACAGTGTTCATGTTCAAGTTGTTCACAGTGGTCTGAGGAATTCTCTGGGAATTTGTGTGTTTGCTCAAACACTCAAACATTGACTGAAAGACTATATGTGTTGTATTCATTTAACAATTGCAAAAAAAAATTATATGGTCAAACAGCTAAAACACCTTCCTTTTTGACATTCATATCATATACCTCTCCGATGTTAATCAAATCTTGCTAAATATCTTTTGTCTTTGTAAAGGATTTTTTTTTTTTTAAGCTCTTCTTTCTTGACACGTGACCTTAATGAATTGGCTCGTGTTTGTTTTCTTTGGGAGCTTGCCAACGGTCATTATCTGAGCCTGGAATGATTGAGTCTCCTTTGACATCAGATTTGCTCTCTTTGTTTAGCCTCTTGTTAAGTCCACTGAAGTACTTCTCTCTGAAGGTGTCGTGTCCCTGGTAGGCGCTGAAGCGAGGGTTTGAAAGATGAGCCAGACTGTCCAATCCCTTTGGAAAGACAGACAAAGGTTACAGGTGATATGTTACCCGACTCCAGAAACAAAATTGTCCATGCATCCATATTCTATTCTGCTTATCCACATTAGGGTTGCAAGTGAGCTGAAGCCGATCCCAGCTGACTTGGAGCAGGCAGGGTACACCCTGGTGTGGACACAAATCAATCGCAGGGAAGCAATTTTTCTTCAAAATTTCATTTGACAACATAGCCACAACAAAAGCGGGATGAACTGACGAATCTGCGTGCAAGTGATGACTCATTTGTTGGCAGTAATTTGTCAACACTTTTTTTCCCAACTTATGCATCCAAGCAACACAAAAATTATGGGTAGGTTTCCACCCTTAAGATTTACAAAACTTCACTACAGTGATCCCTCACTTACAGCGGTTAATGGGGACCAGGACCCTGCCGCATTAAGTGAAAACCCTTGAGGGAGGGCTTAATCAGCCACGAGGAATTTTGGTCTAAGTGTATGTGGGTAAGCACCACGTTGAAAATATGTAAATTGTGACAATAACCATGATAGACTGAGACAAAAACGACAGCAGTACACGTATTTACTTAAATCTTTCATTCTAAAATCTTATACAGCAATTAACATTCATTAACGTAGCCTTCAGAAGAATCTGTGCTTGGTGGTTGCGCCTTCTCGGCAGCACACGTGTACCAGCACTGATTTTGATTGGAAGGAATGTCGGCACCATTTGACTGTCGTTGCTGGACAGCCCCGGTGTGATTGTGTTTTGCGCCTGTAATGGGCAGCATCTTCACAGCCCCGCTTTGTTCAGCGGAAAGGTCGGTGCTGTTGGACAGTCTGCGGCTGGATGGATGATGCATGGCTTGAGGAGCCGACAATGAGAAGAAAGGAGCATCAGCGCAGAGCGCAGACGCATATGTGGAACTGGGAGTCGCAGCTTGGAATTGAAGTAGATTTATGTGGGACAGGAGATCAGAACCAATCTCTTTTTCGTTAATGGACGCTACAGCTGACGTGTGCACATTTTCAGCAAGATGTCTTTAGGGGTGTTCACACGGCAACATTTGCTCCAGTGCTGCCCCAGTAGAGCGTTCACACGTGCAAAGTTACACCGGTGTAGCCCCTGAAAACAGCTTAAACCGGAGCAAATTTAACCCTGCTCAGGGAGGTGGTTTAAAAATTTGCTCCGGAGCAAATGCTCGTTTGCGGGACAGCACCGATGTAAAATGGTACGTGTGAACGCTACAGGGTTAAAAATTTGCTCCGGAGCAATTGTTCGTTTGCGGGGGGAATAGCCTCGCTACGCATGAACAGAGTTGATTACATACGGCGAGAATGCGTTGCTTTCATGCTCTGTTGTACTTCCATCATCTGTTTGTCTAATAACGACACAATACATGATGGCTGGCAATAACAGTAGAATGGCAACTGGCAATAACAGTAGCAAGCGGCACCTTGCCTCTCGGGTTATACCATCTCAACAAGAACGGGGGGAGGGGTGGGTAGTCCCCAAATATCATCTTTCCTTTTGTAGGAGACTGGACTGTCTCAGAGTTGTTTGTGTAGTTTGTTCCTTTGTTGTGTGTTCACAACCCCCCCGCCCCCCAATAAAATTTCTTTTGTGATTTCCTCTCTTGATTTTCTGTTTGGCGCATTATATGTTTGCTTTTCTGAGTGTCATTGAAGTCATCGTTGATTTACGTTTTCGGGGGCGGTCA